TTTTTTTTTTTTTTTTAATATATGGTGTGTGGGTCGGGACAAACCTTCCCTAGACTTTAACCTGTGTTGGGGCAAGCCTAGCAGAACACCCATTTGGGTAGCTCTACCATTGACATTCGCCCAAACATTTGAAAGACCTAGTGTGTTGAAGAGTCATATTAAAGTGATATTACTAAATAACATATGATACTAATGGGTCACACTAACAACAATTTAATACAACTGATTATTTATTAGAAATTGATTTTAATAAATATTCAATAAAACTCTTATAATTAAATTGAAAATTATTTATTTCATGAAAATAATAAATTCCATTATAAAGTAACTTAATATATGTCATATGGTATGATTTATAAGTCATGTACAAACTTTTGGACCAGTTGAATCATTTTCTCTTTTTCCTAAAAGATAAGGTTTATATTTTATAAAAAAGTTTATAAAAGTTTGACTTTATTTCTTCTTCTTTATGCAATTTTCGAGATATATGCATAAAAAGAATATATATATATTACTTGTCTAATCATGCTTTAAAGGCATGAGAGACATACTTATGACATGGAGACATGTTTTTCTAAAGTTGAAGGAACCAATGGTTAATATGTAACACCTGTTTCAGGTATTAAGTAATTTACATGAACTTTTAGGGTTTGTGCATGGACTGGACGAGTTGGATGCCCCAACTCGTCGAGTATAGGCCATCTCATGGACGTGGGGGCAGGACCTACTCGACGAGTCAGAAGTATCGACTCAGCGAGTAGGAGCTGAAGAGAGAAAACTCTAATTTTAGGGTTTTCACCCTATATAATATCCTTAAGAACCTTGAGGCTGACCTTCCATCAGCCTCCAAACCCTAAGAACGTCTGTGCAAAACCCTAATCCCCATTCTCTTCCATTTTGTGAGCTAGAGTAACTTGTGAAGCTTAAAAAGGAGATAATGAGAAGATAAAGGAGAGCCAACAAACCAAGCCCTCATTCTTAAGCTTGACCATCTTGTAGATTGCGGTAAGTCTTCAAGATTCGATTTTTACCTTAGAGTATGGCTATATCTTGAGTTTACTCCTTATTCCCTATCGTTTCTATTGATTGCATGCATGGGATTCATAAAGTTTGCAACTTTATGGATCTCAAGGGAAAAATAGTCCCAAAGTGGGCTAAATCTAGCTTTCGATCAAGCAAGGATGCCATGCAAAAGTTCTTAGAGCATATTCCCCCCTTTTTTTTCATTTTGACTTAAAGACATGCATTAGAAGTGCATGTCCATAAAGCCTTCATCTTTGGAACGTTTTGAGGACTAGAAACTCCTCTAGAAAGGAGGGATTCCAAATCCCTAGAGTTTTGGGAATGCATGGCAAGACTTTTGAGCTCTCCAACCTTTGATAAGGACCTTAGAGCATTTGGAGTGGTTACAGAGGGTAAAGTTGGAAACTTTATCCCTATGGACACCTTAGGGTTTTAGATCTAAGCCCTAGAGTCCATGCATTCAGTGAATCATCATAATAAGCAAACAGGGAGGGGGGGACTCGACGAGTGACCCTAGCAACTCGACGAGTCGGATTGGGTTTCCCCGCCTTCTGGATATCGAGTGAACTTATCGAGTTGATGAAGCAACTCGACGACTTGGCTAAGGTTTAGTCAAATTTTCTGGACTCCGAAAGAACTCGATGAGTTGCTAGATGCACTCGACGAGTTGGGGTCAACATGGACTGTTGACTTTGACTGTTGACCTTGACCATGGTTGACCAGAGTTGATTTCGAGGGTAATTATGGGATTATGACAAGTTAATCTTATGATGCTTATAGGAAGTTGAGTTGGAGCTGTGCGTTGGGACTTATTGGATCTTATCTTGTCAGCACAACATTCATGAGAGGTGAATCTTCTCACCATATCAATGGGTCTAAGGCACCAAGGACGACCCATTTTATGATATGTGGATTGTCGATTGACTATGTGTTATGTTAGTATGGCATTGTATGGAAGACCCCGGGGGGTTCCCGTGGCAGTAGGCTAAGACCACATGGGGGTTCCTATGGCATGTGGTATAAGACCTTGGAGGGTTTCCATGGCATCCTAGTATATTTTGCATGATTAGTTATATGATACTTGCTTGGTAGAAAGACCATGTAGGGGTTCCCATGGCAGATAGTAAGACCATGTTGGGGTTCCAGTGGCATTAGGTGTAAGACCCTAAAGGGTTTCCATGGCTTCCATATATGTTGCATGCATGGCTTGTTTGATGATGTAGCTTTTATAGCTAATGTGATATATGTTATGTGGATTTGTGTGTAGGGTATGCTCTGTAGAACTCACTAAGCATTAGCTTACAGTTTGTGGATTTGTTTCACGTACATCAGAGCCAAAGGGCAAGGGCTAGGCTTGATGGCGCGGCGTGTCGACAATGTTATTCTATGAGAATAACAAAGAAACTATATTATTTGATAATGTGAATACGTTCAATCTTACATAATTATTGTCGTTATCACATATCTTCACTAATTAAATCGTCAATAAGGTTATTATAGACTTTTTTTATTATTCTTATTCTATCAGAATGTTACTAAGTCGTATTCACATTACTAAACAATTT